ATGTACAAAGAATGGCTTCGGGTCAGGTCAGGAATAAACAAGAATTTCTATTTGATCCCATAAGACTAGATAGTAAATATTTAGGTAGGAATGGGGAGAGAGGGAGCTAAGCCAGAGCCCTTTAGGAAAAGGATGAAGAAAACATCTACAGGCAAGCTAGCAGTAGTGGCCCAAGAAGAGAGGAGGGGTAGGAGAAAGACAGAAGGTGAGGGAGAGAAATAAGAAAGTACCCTCTTGGCCAAAGCAAGATCAGCTACAACTTGAGTTTCCATGGCACAGGGCAGAATAGAAGGGATTAAGGGTCCTTCTAGACGGGAAGTGGTACCAACTCAAATTTATAATATAACCAAACATGACTGAGTCAATGAAAAGAAAAATGTAAACTGTATTGAAGTTATCTTTGGCTAGACACTAAACTCAGATCCAGAATTCTACACCCTTTAATTTATTTCTATAGCCTCTGGGATTTGTTCCCCTTATTCTATTATTAACATTCTCTTTTATGAATTTCAAGTCTGCCTTAGCGAATGAGATGTGCGCACAATCTCAGCTGAAGACAGCATCAGGGCTGAGAGACATACTAAGTCCTGGAACCAGGGAAGACAGTAAGAGCACCGAGAGGGATACAAATGGAGCCAACTGTGCACCTTGGTCCCTTCCCTTCTGGTTTATTCGTTCAGAAGTATACATACAAAAGATCTCTAAATTTTAAATAAGTGATATTCCAAGAATTTCTGTGCCTTAAAAAAAAAACTGCACAACTTAAAAAAATATAAATACATAGTAAATAGTGCTGGACTTAGTATGAAGAAGACCCAGGTTCGGGCAGCTAGATGGTGCAGTGGATAGAGCACCAGCCCTGCACTCAGGAAGACTTGAGTTCAAATCTGGTCTCTGACACTTGACACTTACTAGCTGTATCACCCCTGGGCAAGTCACTTAACCCCCACTGCCTCACCCCCCCCCCCAAAAGATGATGAAGACGACCCAGGTTCAAATCCTGCCTCTTGTGACCTCAGTTTCCTCAACTGTAAAACGAGGGCTGGACAAGATAGTTTTTAAGGAACCTTCCAGCTCTAAATCTATGATCCTATACTCCCAAAATAAACTGTGTTTAAGTGGTAGATTCCCCCAAAAAAACAATGCAATTTAGCTGAAACATAGCACTACAGTAATAACAGTAGCTTACATTTATGTAACGCTCTAAAGCTTGCGGAGTACTTAACCGAGAATCTAAGTCCTCGATTATTTCATTGAATCCTTGTAACAAACAGTTCTTTGAGACCAAGTATTGTCCTTATTTTACAGATTAAAAAGAGTGAGGCTCAGAGACACGAAGAGACTTGCTCAAGGACACAGGATTAGTAATGAGAGATATGAACCCAATTTTGTTGACTGCCACATGTAACAAATGTTTTATGGGGGGAAGCACTCAGTTATGCAACTTGGGATACCAGTAATATATAGTGGAAAACTAGGCTGATTTTCCTCTCCCACTCCACAGGTCGTGATAAACTCAGGCAAAATGGATTCAAGGGCTGCAATAGAGGGTGAGGAAGGAGGAGGCAGGACTTGTAGGGGAAAGACCTCCTGCCACCATCAAGTCCGGAAGATACTTCCAGGTCCTGAATTGCCTTCAAAGTCCTTGTGTGGCAACTCTGATAACTGGCAATCTTAAGCATTTTACCACAGGAGATAAATAGAGGTGGGAGTTCTGAGGTAAAGATGAAAAAAATCTCTCTGGAAAAAGAGAGCATTGTCTCAGGAGGCCAAGACAAGACCAGCATCAGCAACGGGGAACTATAGCAGTGGAGAAAAAAAGAGGGTTTTGGGATCTGTTCTTACCAATCAGTGTTAAGACCTGAAAACTCACTCTGGACCAAAGTAAAGGAGGTCCTAGGCAACAACAGTCCAAAGTAGGAAGATGAAAACTTTCCCGTGAAAAACTCATATGGTTCCTAGGTCAGCTTTTCCAAGGTGGCTACATGGAGGCAAAGGATGTTTCTAAGTCAGACAGACAGTGGAGGACTGTTTAGACTTTTATATTATGATTCAGCTGTTTGTATCTTCTTAAAGTTTTCCAATGCCATAGGGTGGACTGTCAGTTTGCTTCTCACAGAAATCATGAGCTACTATTATACACTGAACACATGACAAGAACTCAGACTTTTGATGGTATTTAATTGTACAACAGATCAGTAAACCGGTTCTACTGTTTAACAGTTTATGGCACTGGTTAGGACCTGTATATCATCCATTAAAGAAAAATTAAGTCAGATGACCAACTGCCAAAAAAATAAATATACGTGTGACTGGATCATAAGACTAATGGTACTTACCTGATTGTGTTCAACTCTTCTTTGCTTGAGTGTTACTGGAGTCTTTGCCTTGCCTTTTAGCGGCTCTCTCTTCTCAAGCTTGAGCTCTGGAAATAACATCAAAAGCACCATTACTTGTTGGCACTTAAAATAAATTAACTCTTAATTCATCTTGCTATTGCTTTGAAATTTAATTAATGTTAGTCTTATAAAAATTCAACTACTGTATTCCTACCCTTATAAATGCAAAAGTCTAAAAAGCCGCTTAAATGTAACATTTGTCCAAAAATTAGGCCTTCTTAAGTTCCCCACTTTCCCATTTGATTGTGTGTCCTATTTATCTCTCCCAAGCAAATGACCATTTCTTTATGCTGTTTACTTTTTTCATCTCCCCACCATTTTCTCTAGGACCAACCTCCTTTTTATAAAAGCACATTCAGCTCTACATTCTAAAGTGCTCTACAGAGTACTTCAATTGAAACAATAAATTCTAGGTATAAGCTAGAAATTAAAACTTTACAGGAAGTAAACCAAAAACTGTTTAATTATGTGTACTCAAGAAATAGGTGGTATTACAGAATGATTTTAGCCATTCCTTCAGTTAACCAGCAAATGGTACCTGGTGGGAGTAACCAAAATTAGTTATATGTCCTCTAAGGCAAACTATTTTTATCCCTGTGGCTGTAATGCACTGGGGAAGAGGGGCTAAACTGTATGCAATGACAAACAAAACCATTCATAGAATACTCTTCTGTCAATAGCTTGAGAAATTAATTTAATTAAAAATATTTGTTAAGCACCCGTTAGCTATTATGGAGATTATAAATTCCTTTGCTCAAGGAGTTTATAATCTACCAAGATGCTAATTGGCTTATAACCTTCCTGGTCATAAGCTATCTTCTTAAAACTGTTACAAATCTTTTTAAAAGAATAAAAGACAGCAATTCCATTCTCCTAGTCATAAGCTTTGCTGCCACTGCTTAAGGAATCAGAAAACTAAAGTTCTAATTTCTATGCACTTTGCTCTTACCATTACTTCTTTGGCTCCTTAATGAAATAAATAATACACAGATATGTCATGTAAGCAAATGAAAAAATTATGTGGCTACTTTTTCAATTACCAGCTATGAATGTGTATGCTGGGCTAACACCCAGGGTTATACTGCACACCCCCTATCCCTGAAATGGATGCAGGTGGAGAAAGTCGTCTTAAGCTTCTTCTTCAGCTTTCTGGATCTTAACCATTATTGTAATGTCAAAATTAGAAATGAAATGAGATTTTACCAAGTACTACTACTTTTATTTCAGATTGAGGGACTCAAGTGCTCCCTCCCCCCATGGTGATTAAGATTTTATTTCTGGACAAGAGCTATTTAAAACGAGGCAGCCTAGTGAAGTGGAAGACAGAAAAGATTTGGATGCTCTGGGTTTGAATCTTGGTTTTTTCAACAACTGGGTGACCACAGCACAACCTTTCCCGGGTTTCAGTTTTTTCAACTGTAAAACTTAAAGACTAGATTATTAGATTGTTTCCAACTCTAAATAGATAATCCTTTTGGGTTTTTTAAATTTTGGGTATTTGGGTTTTGTTTTGACTGGACAGAAAGTGGAATAGAAATGTAAGAACTGGAAAACAAGGTAAAAAAAAATCAAGTCAGGTTTAGTATGTATACAAAGAAATTAAATGGATTCAAATAAATTTAATTCCTCACAAATTTTGATAACTTGGAAAAAGCTTAAAGGAGTAGTGAAGATAGGCCCTTATAATACAGAAATCAAAAGTGATAATAATGTGAATTTGGCAATATAAGTTTTCAATTATAAGTAAATACCGTAAGATGTCGAATTTACTCCAAGGAACTGGGAAGGGGATCCATGTTGAATAAGATATCATTTGGTGAAATTCCAAGAATAAACACACATGCTACATGGTTCTGAAGGCCACACAATATTTTTCAAATTTAAAAACTTTATTGAATTTGTGGAGGCACTCTACATTGTCACAAATTAATTGCACAGCGCTCTGTAAGTAGCACATACAGCATTTCAGAAGAGACAAAAGCAAACAAAAACATTCCTTACAAAGTCCAAAGACAGATAAGAGGTATAAAACATATAAAAAAAATCTAAGGCTGATTAGGTTCTAGAATGGCAAATGTGCCCAGGTAAACATATTTAATAGCTATTAAATTTTTATATATTGTTTTATATATTCTATCATATACAAGTGTTTTAGATTGCTCAATAAAAAACTCTTAGGCACTTTTGATGGGTCAGCAGTCCATTTGCTATTACACCTTATTCTACAGATAATCCTTTTGGTACATTTAAGACCAAAGCTACCATTTTCCATAAAACAGAAAAATAGGTAATTCAGTTACTAAATACATACTTCCAAAAACAAAACATGAGAAAAGATACCATGCTTTCGTAAAACTAGCTACATAAACATACTTTTGGCACTGTCAGAATTTCACATACCAAATATTTCAAACTTATTTTGGAAATTAATTTTAACTTTAATCACAAAGTTTTACTTAATATGAAGCACAAAACAAGATGAAGGAAAAACATTCCAAAAGAGTCATTCTAATCTTTATAGTACAAAACATAGTTGTTGAAAAGACATAGTATTCCTATGGGGAATTGTTTATAGGAAATCTATGACTACCTAAATTACTATTTTTTTCTTCTGTGATAGGAAAGGGCTTGTAAGCCAGCTGTGGTACAAGGGGATAAGATAAAAGGAACGGAAGGAGAGGCTGTGGGAACCGGGAGGTATTGAAGACAGGTGATATCTGAGAATAAAAACTCTCCATTTTGTGTGTGTGTGTGTATTTAACATTAAATTCCAATTCATATGTCTCCTTGTGACTGGAGGGGAAGAGGGTGTCTGATTTCTCCAAAGCTATCCTAATGATGTACAAGTTGTGCATGGTGTGATAAAGCAGTAAGACTTCTAATACAGTCCAGAGACAAACAAGTATCATAGGACTAGATAATTAAAATCTGGAGAAGACTTCTTTAGAAGGTTGGCAACTATAACTATTAAAGCATATGTTGAAATTTGCTTTGGCAAAAAAAAAATACTGATCGCAGTGAAACGACAGATCTTTAAAAGTACTGAAATGCACCTAAGATTTTTATTTTGCTTCTTAGTTGTACAAAATGTATACATAACTATGAAAGGCGATAAACTCATAATCTATTAAAAGTTTCATAATCTTACCGAAATAGAACCTCAAATGGAAAGTACAGAAGAAAATGCACCAAAGTTTGAAAGGAATAACTGGTAGTACTTTGTAAACCCTAAACCATAAAAATGCCAACTCCCATGTTCTAAATGTTTTAGGAATATGGTTTTTATCTATGCAAAGAAAAAGGAAGGACTGAGCTGAGCTTGGCCAGTATCAATTGGAAATTGCTAGCCAAGTCTCCAGGGCTTTTCATGCCTTATCACCATGGGAAAGATCTCTCCCTACAACCTCATCATTGTCTCTTCCCTCGCTTTTTAATAACTCTCTGCACTTCTCCTCCAAACAGTGTTCCCCCTTTGAGAGGAAGCACTGACAGCTTATTCTTATGAGTGGGACTAACTTTGTCACTGTTCAGCCAGAGGTGCCGACGCCCCACAGTAGAAGATCCCATGCCACAGGCAGCCATCCTCACTTCATCAAAGGCAGCATCACAGAGAAATGAGGCTGCATCGTAAGTTTTGCTTAGAGTCCTGAGTGCCTCAGGTATCTGACTGGGATCAGAACTGAGAATCTGTGCAACCTGACCAATCTCTGTTTGTATGGCCCGAGCAACAAAAGCAGTATGGGCTGCAATCTGCAGCGCTCCTGCTGCTGCTTCGTATGTTCTACAAAGGGCAAGATCAAGCTGCTTATTGCAAGCCTGAATGGATGCTGGGGAAGTGACTTCCGAAGCCAACTCTAGGACTTCATCATCCACTTTGGGAACTGACAACATGTGTGATGTCTCTCTAGAAGAAACTGGGTATTTGCTTGCCATTGAAGGGATCTGCTTATCAATGTGACTCCATTCCTCATCAATTACCTTTAAAATAGATTCATGGAGGGGAAAAGATGGTTCTGGGCTGATTGTGTCATGCTGACATTCCTCAGGTGTTTCTATGCCTAAGGTACTGAGTGAATGAGAAATAACAGCCTTTGCAAAGGCAGAAGGTGCTGCATTGTCTTGAGGAGCAAGAAGAGAACCTGAATCCCCTTCCTTTGCTGATGTCTCATGCAGTCTGGGGAGTTTTTTGGGAGAATACATGGATTCAGTTTCTTGAAAGTGAGACCGGCCAACCTTTTTATGTGGGTTTTCCACACTGGCTGAGCTGGGGTTAGAAATTCCAGGTAAGTTACTTGCCCCTGCCTTCATTAACAGAGAATTTACATAATCTCTGATGGCTTGAGCTAGAGGTGGAGTAATTACTTGTGAGTTCTCTAAAATGTCTGGCTTTTCTCTATTTTGGGAGAGAACTGACTGTGCGAGACTGCATGCCCTCTCGGTAAATGAAGAACCAAACTCCCACTTATTTCCACCACAAAGGTTTTCTAAGTGGTCTCTGAGGCTCTTGGGAGTGGGGTCTTTAAGAGAAGGAGAACATGAGAGCGTAGCTGCAGGTGAGGCCAATGTGGCAAATGGTTCAGACTGGGAAGAAGATAATGAACTTCTCCCCAAGAATCTATCCTGGCCATACTTAGGAGAATTGAAAAGATCCTCCCCCGAAACTACTTTTTCTGTTTGTCCTATGCCAAGTGAGCTGGAGGCATTCAGAGGTTCCCTGAATGGGTCTCTATTAGAGCTATGTCCTCTTTTAGCTGCCTGTAATTCAGTCCAGCCCAAGGGAGGACGGGCACGAATTTCAGGAAAAGAAACTGCCTGAAAAAATCCACCAGAGGGAGAGGTTGGAAGTTCAGAAATACGGACAGACTCCCTAGTGGACTTCACTCTCTTGTGTTCTTTCTTCTTCCCTGTAGAAGCAAAAGAGGCAGGAAATTTAAGTATAGTTGGGTGGATGACCTGGTTCTCTTTTTTGCCTCCTTGCTAAAATGATGTTGTGGAAAGAAAAGCCTCCATTTCTTGTAAATCCACAGAAATGTTTTGGCTCTCTTTATAACCTGGCAAGTTAATTAGTACAGGAATATGGGCTACCTGGGTCAAATTACCAGTGAGGAAATAAGGGGGAAATAGGAGATATATTAACACTGTTATATTTAGACTAGATTTTAGAATGTCCATCCTCATAATCACATCACTCTTTTAAAAGTGTCAGAATTAACTTTCGATTCATATCAGAAACTGCCAGATTCATTCACAAATACATAATAATTACAGTGCTCATGAGGAAAAATTTTTCCATGTCATATTACTTCATTAAGAACCAAAGGGGCAAAAGATCTGCTTTCGGGTTGCCCTGAAATAATTTTACCTGGTAACACTACTCTACCCAAATCCCAAATAAAAGTTACATGCTCTTTCACTGCTATATTAAAATTTACCTTCTTCGTTGTCACTGTATCTATCTGAGTCATCATTTCCATTCTGTCTAGCATTTTCTGCTGACGAAGAAACCGCTGGCAGAGGTGTCGAAGATCTTGACTCTGGACCATGTTCTCTCAGTTTTAGCAGTTTTTTCTCATATAGCTTCCTGGTCGTTCCTATATTGAAATAAACTTGGTTAGTAACTGTTGTCATGTAGTCCCTTATTTCATTGTTGCTTTTGTTTTTTATACCTCTTTTCCTACTAGTAATTAGTTTCATATTTAACTGATCTATATAGTTAAAAAATAAATATGCTGTGTCAGTCAAAGGCACAGCGGATGGAAACTAATCCTATTTAGACATCATTTTTATTTTGACCCTATCAAATCCTTCCCAACATGTTTACTACTCCAAGCAAGTTTTAAACATTGTTTTCCTGTCTTCAAATCCCACTGTAATTTTGATCTCTTATCTGAAACTTTTCCTCAAATTCATCCCATTCTGATTGCTTTTAAAAATTAATTAATGTACTTATAATCAAAATCACAAAACTTAACACTTAATTTTGTCGCACTAGTTTTATATGCCCAATTACGTCATCACCTCTTTTGAATTCAAACATTTCATATTGATGATTGATGATGGGTGTGTTAAATGCAACCACGTGAATGGTTTCAACTTCAGTAGTTAACAGTGGTACATCAAATTTAAATAAACTACAAAATAATTTAATTCCATTATTAATAAATGAAGTGTCTTGATAAAAAGTTTTCTTTAAAATAGCCTTTAGCCTTTTTAGCCTTTTACATTTGTCTTGCCTTCGTGTTATACTGGTTTCTAGATAAGTATTAACTGTAACAAATTTCTTTCAGAAACCCAACACCTAAACTAGACTTCCTACAAGAACCCCTAAAATGATCAGCTTTGAGTATCGGTATCTGGCACTTCAAGAAAACATGTTTACCAAAAATACTTATACTACAAAACAAAACAAAAACTCATAATTTGTTTAATACTGAGATTTTGTACTGGAAGGTCTGTGGATAGATTTCAAGGGTGTCTATGTACTTAAATGGGGGGGAGATAAGAGGTGGGAATTCATTTTTATTTTCACTAACCTTTCTGAAAAATAGCTTTCTTCAGACTACCAAAAACCTTAACCACAAAAAAAAAGGTTAGAAATCCCTGGTTTAAACTCTACACACAACAGACTGGCAAAATAAGACAAAAAAGGCTATGGGAAAACTAGTACATTAATGATCTACCAATGAACTGTGAACTGGGCCAGCCATTCTGGAAAACAATTTGGAACTATGCTCCAAAAGCTATAAAACTGAGCATACTTTCGGTCCTAATAATACTACTGCTAGGTCTATCCTCCAAAGAGAACAAAGAAAGAGGAAAAGGACCCATGTGTACAGAAATAATCATAACAGCTCTTTTTGTGAAGAATTGGAAATTGAAAGGGTGCCTATTAACTGGAAAATGGCTGAACAAGGTAACAAGGTAAGATACATGAATGAGAAGGAATACTATTGTGCTGTTAAGAAATAATGGGGTGGTGGTGAGGAGCGATTTCAGAGAAATGTGGGAAAACATATGAATTGATGAGAGTGAAGTTAGTGGAACGATAACAATAGTATTATTGTTATATATAGCAGAACAATATATGCACATGAACAATAACAATATTTAAAGACAACTTTGAAAGACTTAAAAACACTGGTGAACACAAGGACCAATCACAATTCAAGAGCACTCATGACGAAACTTACCTCCTGAGAGAGATGATGGATTTAGAGTACAGACTGACACAAACTGGAAGAGAGAAAACCTGGCCAAGGAGGGAATTTGTTTTGCTTGACTCTACATATGTTTGTAACTGGAGCTTTTTTTTCCCCCCCTTGCTTTTCAGGGGAATAGTGAAAGGGTGGCAGGGAGAGAAGGTGGATCTTTATGAAAATAAATCTTAACTATTTGCCTCTGGAATAAAATTATTGCCCAGTATATCTATTATTTCTCTCAAGTCATTTACACCAAAATGAAGGGGAATCAAACTCAGACTTGACCTTATTTTAATTATTTAATGGGCATTTATTTATTAAAGGCCTACTTTATGTCAGGTGTTGTGTTAGATACAGGGACAAAAATGAAACAGTCCCTTCTCTCAAGGTTTTATTTTATTGAAGAGTAAGGATGTATACATATACAGTGATAACATATGTACACTAGACATGGGGAGAGGAAGGGGTGGTGAGGAAAGGCCTCAAGTAGGAGAGGATCCTCTGAGGCAGAGCTAAAAGGTGGGGTATAACTCCAGGGCCAGCCTATGGGCCCAAAGGCAGGGACACAAGAAATTGAATGCAGTGGAGGCCAAGTTAACTGGAAGGTACAGTGTGTGAAGAGTAATGTGTAATGAGTCAGAAAAGGTAGAATGGAGTCAAACTGTGAAGGGCTTTAAAAGCCAAACACAGAAGTTTATGTTTGACCCTTGAGGCAACGGTAGTTGCTGGAGCTTTCAGCGGAGTACAAGGAATTGACAGTAAGCATTCATCAGATTCATAATTTATTAAATAGTTGAGTGAAGACAACTTTAGTCTGCTTAAATATATTGCAAAACAAAGAAGAAAAAGAACCACTGTACACAAAGCATTACAAAAAGTCATTCTGACAAGGAACTGTTCTTGTCTGTAGCTTTGGAAGTAATTGCCACCAACTGTGGCAGCTTTAGAAGACAATCCTATCACCTGCCTCTCCTATTAGCACATTATCAATAGAAATAGCTGATTCTGTAATTTGTAAATATATTCTTTCAATTTGTAATGGAGGAATAGTATTATTATATTATGGCTTACTAAGTTAGGTAAAGAGCCCCGAGTTCCTAGTCAACTTTAGTCAAGAATAATCAACAAACACTAAATCCTGGAATGCATGTTGTACTGACCTTACATAGAAAAAAAATAACTCATTTAGTAGTTTAAGGCCTACAAAGTACTTTCTTCATAAAATCCTGTGAGGGAAATCGTGCAAATACCATTACCCCAACTTTACAGATAAAAAAACTGAGGCTTGGAATCTTAAAATGATTTCAGCAAATAATAAAACAACAACTTTAACAAAACTAACTTAGGTTTGCAAAGTTCTTTACAAACACGTCATCTGGTCCTTATAAGAACTCTGTGAGCTAGGTGCTATTAGCACAATCATGTTATAGATACAGAAATTGAGACTGAAAACGGTTAAATGACTTGCCCAGAATCCCACAGCTAGTGTCTGAGGCAGAATTTGAACTCAGGTCTTCATATAGGTCACCTCTGTATAACCCAGCACTCTATGCGTTGCTCCACCTCTAAGGCCTTGCCTTATATGCTCACCCATACCTTACATTCATTTTCTATCTCTCTATCTTTCTATACTTAATATCTCCCCAATTGAAAATAGGCTCCTGAAGGGCAGGAAGTGTTCATAATTTGTCTTTGGGTGTCCCAGCTTGTCAAATGAATGCTTTGCTCAGAGTACTAGAGTTGGCAGATATTTACACGCCTCTCTCACTAGAATATAAACGTGAAGACAGATGTGGTTTTTGCTTTTCTTTACACTTTGTGCACTTCTTCAAACTCACATGGTAAATGGTTATTAGATTCTTGTTGATGTAATGAGGTCAGGTAGTATTGTCTAATTCTGACTCAAATGAAACCTCAATGCAATAATTTGGTAATCTCTCTGAAAATGAAAAGAATTTAGATTAACCTACCCACAATAGGGCCAGGATTTACTCCGTATTTCACGAGTTGAGACAACAGTTCTTCATTTGTGAGTTCAGTGACATCAAGATCATCTTTCTCCTCTGATCGGGGTTTGTCAGTTTTCTTTGTGGCTTTCTGTAAACAACAGTACATTCTTTATAAGTATCTCTAATTCTTTTCCAATAAATTAACAAGATATCCATTTATCTTGATAGTCAGCACACTTTGTACACAATTATATTGAAAATAAAAATGAGCTTTTAAAGTAACCCATTCTTAGATTATCTTTTAACATTTTAATAATGACAAAAAAGCAAAGCACGAGAATTTAATGAATTAAGTTCTGAGTCTACACACTGTAACAGCAGAGTTTTTAATTTTTAAGTTTTCAATTTTTAAAAAATCTTAGTCAAAATGGTCAATTAGTCTTATGGATTGGAAGATCAGTTTCCCTCCCAATCCTAAAGAAAGGCAATGCCAAGGAAAGTTCAAATTAAGGAACAATTGCGTTCATTTCAAATACTATCAAGGTTATGCTTAAGATTCTGCAAGCTAGGCTTCTGCAAAATCTGAACCGAAAATTTCCAAATGAACAGGCTGGAAGAGACAGAGAAACCAGAGACCAAATTGCCAACACTGGATGGATTATGGAGAAAGCAAGGGAATTCCAGGAAAAAAAAAAAGATATATTTCTGCTTCATTCACCATACTAAAGCCTTGGACTGTGTGGATCACAACAAAACGTGGCAAGTCCTCCAAAAAATGGGAGTACCATATCATCTTACTTGCCTCCTGAGGAACCTGCACATGGACCAAGAAGTAAAAATTAGAACCAAACATGGAACAACTAACTAGTTTAAGATTGTAATAGTAGTACTACAAGGCTGTACATTGTAACCTTATTTATTTTACTCATATGCAGAGCACATTGTGCAAAATGCCAGATTCAGATGAATCAAAAGACAGAATTAAGGCTGCCAGGAGAAAAAGCAACACTCTCTGATGGCAGAAAGTGAAGAGAAATTAAGAAGCCTCCTGATGAGGGTGAAAGAGAATATAAAAGCTGGCTTGAAGCTTAACATCCAAAAAACTAAGATCTTGGCAAATGGTCCCATCACTTCCTGGCAAAGAAAGGAAGAAGAAATGGAAGCAGTGTCAGATTTTACATTCTTGGGTCCAAAGATCACTGCAGATGACAACTGCAGCCATGAAATTAAAAGACACTTACTCCTTGGAAGGAAAGCTATGGCAAATCTGGACAGCACACTAAAAAAGAGAGACATCACCTTGCTGACAAAGGTCCATATAGTCAAAGCTATGGTTTTTCCAGTAGCAATGTATGGCTATGAAAGCTGGACTATAGGGAAAGCTGAATGTGAAAGAACTTTCGAATTCTGGTGCTGGAGAAGACTTTTGGGAGTCCTTTGGATAGCAAGGAGATCAAATCAGTCAATACTTCAAAGAAATTAATTTAGGCTATTCACTGGAAGGTCAAATATCAAAGCTGAAGCTTAACTACTTTGTCTACATAATGAGAAGACAGGACTCATTGGAAAAGACCCTGATGTTGGGAAAGACTGAAGGCAAAAGGAGAAAGGGACAGTAGAGGATGAGATGGATAAGTAGTATGAACTTGGACAGACTTCGAGAAAGACTGGAGAATAAAAGGGCCTGGAATGCTATGGTCCTGGGGTCAGAGTCAGACATGACTGAACAACACCTGACAAACACGGGAAGACATACTAAAAAGGTGCTAATGATCACAGGCTGGGCCTAAATATTTTCCTTCAAAGAACTATGAATGTACTAGAAAACTATGTGGCAGCTCCTTTTAAAGGTAAGAAAACCTTTTATTTAGCACTGGTCTTGAAAGTAGTTTGAGGAACTTAGACTATTATTTTATCCTCCAGTGCAATCTAATCCTACCTATAACTTGTTGGTGGTTGTTTTCACAGTATCTCCCCCATTAGACAATTAACTCCTTGGGTGCAGCGACTGTCTTTTAGCCTTCTTTGCATATCCTCAGAGCTTAGCATGAACGTAGGGTTATGTGTACTTTGCACAGAGGAAGTGATTAATAAATGTTACTGACTGACACATATTGTAATTACAAAGAAACAAGCCTAAAAAAGGTAAGGAGGAAACACATAGAACTTGGGAGCTAGATGGAGCTTAATATCAAGTCTACTTCTGGCATTTTACAAATGAAAAAACTATGATCGAGAGGTTAAGTGACCTGTCCAATGTGACAGAGAATTTATATATCTTAATGAGTGTTCTCTTTAAAGTAGCTCCCCCCCACCTTTGGAAGTCTATACCTTTATTCCAACAATGCAATAATTGCTGAAAACATTTCTCAAGCTTCTCTGATTGGATTCAAAATGTACCTGAGGATTTTATGATCACATGTCACTTTTTAACAAAAAGATTATCAACCAACTTGAATTATCTATGTGGTGTAGGAGATTGAAAGGGCTGGCCTGGAAGTTAAGATCTGAGTTAGACACTTATTGCTTGTGGTCCTAGGCAAGTCAACTAACTTCTCAGTCAGTTTTCTCATTTGTAAAACTGAAATAGCATTTATCTCACTAATTTTAATATATAAAGTGCTTTGCAAACTAAAAAAAAAAAACAACCCACTAAACAAATGTTGGCTGGTGGTATTAGGCAACAAGATGACAGTGAAGAGTGTGCTGGATCCAAGTTCAAATCGCTTAACCTCGATGTGCCTCAGTTTCCTTTATCTGTAAAATGAAGGAATTGGACTCAATGGCTTCTAAAAAGAAGTCTGTTCTAGCTCTAAATCTTTGATCCCACAAAGTCATTTCATTCATCAAATTACAAATTAACTTCTAACTGAAGGATAAACAATTTTGAAAGAAAGAGAATATTCAAAGGAATGTGAAGTCTGGGGATTTATTTGTTTGCCTATACTTATTTGTTATAAAAGTTTTGCCTCCCCTTCCCGCCTAATTGAAGAGAGGTGGGGAGAGAAAATTGCTTGTTCATTGAAATTTTTTGAAAGAAATCTTTATCTATACATCGTGACTAATGTGAAAATATGCTTAACATGAAGTACAAGTAGAGCCTATATCAGATTACATGCTGTCTTGGCGGGGGGAAGAAAATTTAAAACTCAAAATCTTATGGAAGTAAATGTTGAAAACTAAAAATAAATAAATTATTATTATTATTCTTATTTTTGGTTAGGCAATAGGGTAAAGTGACTTGCCCGGGGTCACACAGCTAGTGTTACTCCTCCAAGGCCGCATTTGAATTCAGGTCCTCCTGAATCCAGGGCCAGTGCTCTATCCACTGTGCAACATAGCTGCCCCAATTTAAAAAAAAAAAAGGAAACTTTAAATTTAGGCTCCTCTCATTTTCAAAGTTAATAAAAAGGAGAGAGTGTCTTTTAAAAAAAAACAACCTATAATTTGTATTTCTGGGCATTATTTTTTTTTAGTCACACTTACATATTTATAGCTTTAAACATTAGGATCACTGATTTAAAACTGTCAGAGACTCTACAGGACATCCAGTCCAAAGCTCTTATCTTTCACAGATAAGGAAGTGAAGTTCAATGACTTGCCCTAGGTCACAGAGGCCACTTTATGAGAGGTGTGATTTGAATCCCAATCCTCTAATGTCAAGTATCTTTCCAGAATATATCAAGTCAATTCTTTTGCTTGGGTCTACACATTAAAAAAAAAATTACCAGAAAGCCAATTGGAACTTTACTACAGTAAACTTCACTTATCCAACAACATCAACCAAAATACTGGGAATCAGGAAAATGTAGCCTTTAAGCATTCCCTAATAGACATCAAGTCCAAACATACAAAGCAAAAAAGGAAAATGATGACAGAGAAACTCAGAAGACTTGTAAAAACTGGTGCACAGTGAAGTGAGAATCAGGAAAACAACGTATACAAGAATAACAGTTGTAAAGCCAAACAACTCTAAAAGACTTCAAGAACTCTGACCATTATGGTGACCAGCCAGGATTCCAGAAGACCAGTGATGAAGCATGAAGGTGACAGACATTTTTAGATACGGTCAATGTGGAATTTGTTTTGTTGACTGTGGATATGTCATAAGAATTTTGTTTTTCTCTTTCTTTTATCTAGGGGGAGGGAGGATAGAAAATAAATGCCTGTTAACTGAAAAAGAACTAAAGTTTTTAAAAAGTGATTTATGTACCTTACTAATTAAATAGATTTTTGTTAACATCTGCAGGACTTAGTTTCCTCATTTATAAATTGAGGGAATTAGCTTTGGTGACCTCTAAGGTCCCTTACAGCTCTAAATGTATGATCTTACTACCCTTTCAGGCCTTTACTCTGAGCCCATTTTTTAGTTTCCTCATTTATAAATTGAGGGAATTAGCTTTGGTGACCTCTAAGGTCCCTTACAGCTCTAAATGTATGATCTTACTACCCTTTCAGGCCTTTACTCTGAGCCCATTTATTCTTACTTTAAACAGAAATCAAGGTTACTCAGTCGACAAAAACAGGTCACTTTTACGTGGTACTTCATAGTTTATAAAATTCTTTCTTCCCTATTTCCATTTTACAGATACAGAAACCGAGACTCAGATTTGTTCAAAGTCACATAAGGACAGGGACAACATCCAGATATTGACCCCAAATTTAGTGCCCCTTCCATTCATTATACCATTCATTCCCACAAAGAAAAGGTAAAATTGTATTTAAGACAGAAAGATTTCTATCAAAAATATTATTTTTTTAAGTTGTGAAACCATTCATTTTCTGGTGCTATTACAATAAATGAAGTTATTATACTACGTAATATTTCATCATTTCTAATTTACTTTAAAATTAAATATAATAGCCAACGTCACTATTACAATAGCCTCACAAAGCAATATAAACACTATTAGAAGATAATAGATGACTGTCTGTTAAGCTAATAGAAGGGATCAATAGGGACAAAAAAGATATACTCAATCACTTCAAAATAAAAAAAATTCTGTACAACAAAGGCTCAAAAGAAAAAAAGACAAATTGGGAAAAGTTATTCTAACTGTAACATATAAAAACTTGACATCTACAATATATAAGGAAATTGAAAATTTACAAAGTCCACTTCCAGTCCTCAATGGCTAAATGATCAAG